GTCGGCCTGTTGATGTCTTGACCAATGTAAGATTCGCTGGAAATTTAAAATATTTGTTCGGACAAAGGAGCATTTTAAAATGAAATAAATATCATGATATTAAAGAGTTTCAACAGCATACAACGGTATTCAATACAACTCCTGATGAAGTTGTTATCCTTGATCTTAGCCAAAAATAGCTATGAGAATATCTCATCACCTCAGAACCAACCTTGTTAGACGAGATTTTGAATATGATTACCGTGAATAAATCTAAATCTCTATGTCAAAATTTCTATACTGCTGCCGACTGTCTCCTGCAGCGGTTTTGGGCTATAAAGTTATATACATACTTACTTCAAACTCGCTTAATTTAAAGTGATTTAAAGGCTCAAATTATCATGTCTTATATGAATTCTTATATGCATTAAAAACAGAATTTCACTAATTTAGAAAGATCAAAGTTCAAGTAAGGCAATAATTATACGGCTCTGTATGCATTTTGTGCAAATACTCATTAAATAAGTTCATTGTTTGTGCATAAAAGGGAAGTATCTAACTATCTGGCTTCCATTCAAGCACATTCTGTCGTTCACATGTATGGAGGTACATACTTACATATGCATATAAAACTGTACACTAGACCGTACCAGAAAAAAAGGTCCGCCGTACACCCCTGAGCCTAAAGTATTTTTGCAAGGCAATTTCGAAATTTTTCATTTTTACTTTGATCGAAAATAGGTATCGCTTTTTTAAATTTTTTGTCATATCTTCGGCATTTATATTCGGATCCTAAGGTGTGATATACGTATCTTATAAATCGAGCCCTAACCGCCAAAAAGAGATAAGCGAATTTTTTTGAAATTTTTCTTTTTGATGCAGAAATGCATTTAGATGCTCTAGGAGTATTTCGGCATAAAAAAAATAAAATTTCTACAAAAAACGCGATATGTTCTCGTCTCGAGGAGAATTTTTTTTTGGTTCCAAAATTCGATTACCCTAAGTAACCCATTCTAGATCTCAGTTTTTATCACACCAACGTACCATCCTATTGTCAACTTTTGCCAAGGAAGTTGTTTTATTATTCGAGTAAAATTACATATTTAAACAAATTTTTTTATTACCCAATATGGATGTCAGCCAAAAATGTAAAAAGGCGACCAAAGCAAACTTTTTTTTTTGTTTCGAAATACCTTAGACTTAGGGATGTTCGCCGAACCTTTTTTGTTTGCTTGTAAGGTGGTACGGTCTAATGTACATACGCATAGTAGTAGTATAAACAGCAAGCCTTTTTATCAGTATTACTCAACTGAAGTGGATGAAGTGGAGTTGACGGTAAAGTACATAAATTGGGTTGAATTAATTGACAACATGCCACAATCGCTCTGGCCGCCAGTGGATCCGCCTCTACAGATCCAAAGACTTACTAGTTTAAGTGTGTATGTGTACATGCACTGCAAACATGTGCAAACATACCAACATACATACTATGTATGTACGTAAGTAGGTTGAAGTGGATGAATGGACGTTTAGTTGGCAAGCTAGCTAAGTATGTAACTAAATAACTGACTGGATGACTGGATGGCTGGATGGCTGGCTGATTGACGCGTTGACTGCCTGATTACCGCTTCATTTTACAATATTTAATTTTATTCTTTAAAGTCAATTCATTTCACTGTAGTTGTTTATGAATTGGCTGCAATCGCGGTATGTCGCTTAAGCATTATTATTATTATTTGTTTTTTATGTTTTTGTATGCGTTTATTTGCTTATGATTATTTGCTCAATGATATGTGAATATGGTTGGTTAGAGTGCATGATATGCACGTGCATGCACACAACCATACATATGTGTGTAAAGAGAAGCATGTAGGCATGCAGATACGCCTTAAGAGTGTGCAACAGTGGGAAGGCGGAATGCAACAAGTTAAAGTTCATTGGCTTTTGCACTGACTGCCCACAATAACAAGATAGATAGATATCTCTTCATAACTCTGCCTGGCCATGGAGTGTAGGTATGTACATAGTAGTATGTATGTACTTACACACAAATATCCATATTTAAATTAAGCAATATCGACGCATTATGATAAGCTGTAATTTCTGGTAACCTGAAAATAATTTTGTGGCTTAAGGCAAAGACTCGTCTGTTCTTTTCGTAAATCCTTACACCAATTTGCACACGTACATTTAAAATTCTAACTAGAAATCAATAGACTAGCTGTAACACAATATGTTGGCGTTTGGCCGAGCTTCTTCTCCGATTTGTGGCGTACGCCTTGATGTTGTCATACGAAGAGGAGGGACCTACATATTTTTGCTCACTCCGAACGGCGATTGCATTTTTAGGAGAAGCTGTTTTTCATGGCAGAAATACACTCGGAGATTTGCCATTGCCTGCTGAGGGGCGACCGCTATTAAAACAAACTTGCTTAGGTTTTTTATTATGTTGGGCCGAAACTGGGTTCGAACCCAGACCCAGCGGAATGTTAGTGAGGGTCGATCGATAAACTAAAAACAAATAATAAAAAACGACGTTCTTTAATACTAGCAAACATACGGCGTGTTTCACTGCGCCTTAAGAGTATACTTGTGTTTTTTTTCATACCCGTATTTGAATATTTCATTTATTTTATCTATTTAATTAAATACCATTTTTCAACAAGTTGGCAGCCCTCCTCAACAATATTTTCGGCAGTAAACTTTCCTAAACCTCTGCAGTTTGATACCCATATTGCAATATTTAATTTATCTTATCAATTAAATTAAATTAAAGTTTTCAAATATGTGGCAACCTTCACAGAAATACTTTCGTAAGCCTTCTTAAACCTCCTTTTTTCACAGCCATATTGCAATATTTACTTTATCTTATCAATTTACTTAAACTGCAATTTTTAAACAGGTGGCAACTCTCAATTTTTTTTTCTTTCTATAATATAACTTATACCTCTAGCGATACATTGATGAAAACTGCACTCAATTTCATGCATTAGTTTGCGAGTGAAGCGCGTAGAAACATACAGACAGACAGACAAAAATTCTAAAAATGGTTGATTTGGTTACTATTGCTCTAATAAAGACTGCTTTAATATCTTTAATGTACAGACATCGGCTGCTTACAATTCTATCATATGTATAGATTCACTAAGCCAAAGCTCCTTTTACTTGTGGCTAACAATGTTTGGGTAAATTTTTATTCAAAATGCATTGCTGATGCTTCTTAAAGATTTCCTAGAAAATGTTTACCCACACCCTAATGCACACTTACATAAATGGTGAATAAATTCTTCACAAATTGCCTTGTGTGCATGCCCATATTTCACTTCATTTGTTATTATTGATGGATTTATTAGCGCGTAGCATACTTTAAATAAATTAATTTGCGTCAATTGAAAAAATAAAAGATAATTTAAATTTGAGTGCACTCAAGCACACAGGTTCGGTGTCGGCCTCTAAATACACTGAGTAAGAATATTAAGTACATACACTGATATGAAGCTGGACAAGTTTTTTTTATAAGTACTTAACCGAATGTGCTTTAAATATATTTATTTCAGTCAGCACCTAAGTAAGTCGCTTACTGTAAAGAAAAAGAAATAAGTAAAGAAGTATGAGTTCGGGTGAAGCCCCGAACTTTATATACCCGGCGCAGGTATCAAATATCGTCGTTTCAACTTTCGCTAAACTACCTTGGCAGAGATAAGCAGAGGTGTTTTTCCCGATTTCAAACGTTTTCGGTTATAAGCTGAGTTAGTCTTAATGATATAATTAAACCAAGTTTAGTAGAAAACGATAAGGTGGTTACCGAGATACACCTTTTGTAGCCATAAAGTGGGCGGTACCACGTCCAATTCATAAAGTCTATAGCAGTTTTTTTATTGTTAAGAGATTGTTATAACAATTAACTTGGCAGAATGGGCCTGGTGGTAAACGAGGAACATACGAAGTATCTCTTGTCACCAAACAAACAGTCAGAACATTTGCGCTTTGGCACCCACGTCACTGTTGACTGTTAAATTTCAAGAAAGTAGAGAATTTCGTTTGCTTGGGAACCAGCATTAACACCGATAATAATGTCAGCATGGAAATCCAACGCATAGTCACTCTTGCCAACAAGTGCTACTTTGGACTGAGTAGGCATTTCATCGATATTGCTATCGATTTTCTACCGATACTTTTATCGAATTTGTAATCGATATTTTTTATCGATTTTGTTGTTGATATTTTTATCGATTTAGTTATCGATATTTTTGTCGACTTTGTTAGCGATATTTTTATCGATTTTGCTATCGATATTTTTATCGATTTTGCTATCGATATTTTTATCGAATTTGTTATCAATATTTGTTTCAGTTTTGTTATCGATATTTTGATGGATGTTACCATCGATTTTGTTATCAATAAGGTATAAAGATAAAAATAAAGATAAAGGAAAAGAGAATAACATAAAGGTAACTAGAACGAACAGGGTAGAAGTAAAGATCTAGATAGAAAAAAGACAAAAAATATAACCTTAAGCAAAAGCAGATGTACATATGTATGTATGTATATTGGTTATGAGACAAACTAGATATGTAACGAAAGTTTCACTTCTCCAGTGTGGCCCAGGCGCACTTACTTTTTTATATCGAAATTGCAAATTTATTCAAAGCTCAATAAATTGGCCATGTTTTGCAACCTCGGGTCGATCAGTAACTTTTATAAATAAAATACATTATTTTCGGAAATACAACTTATTTGCTTTTTTGTTTCATTTGAAATCATAACCTTAAACAGAATCTCAAGCGGGCGGAGCTGCGGTCGAAAGCATGTTTTGTATAAAATTTGAAACATTGTGCATATCAAAAAAAAATTAAGATTTTATATAATTTGAAATAATAATGGGACATTACTTTACATACAGTCGAATAATAAAAAATATAAAAAAAATCGTTGCGTGCCAACTAAACCGACCAGTGTCATATTTGGTATTTTAAATTACCTTTTAACAACAATCAATCATGTCAATGAAAACTCACAAATTATTACGCTATAAATTAGCTGTCGATCGTATTTATTTACACTTCAAAAATATGTGTGTTAATACTTAAAAATAAAAAAAAATCATACAAATAGTTATCGTTTTAACGTATACAGTTTAGTCGTTCGTGAGATACTGGCATAAGAGTTTCGATTAATTGAAATTCAATACATCACTAACTAAGATAGGACAAGCTCTGTTATCAACTACATACTTAGTGTAAATAGCTAGCTAGTAATAAGATTAACATATTACATATTTATGTACATATATTACGATGGCTAAGCTATTTAAATAATTCGCATAAATATTACAAAATAAGTACGTTTATGTACATTTACATACAAACATTTCAATGTAATTTTAATGTGCATAATTAAATAATTAAAACCAGGCGATTGCACAAAGTTCAACGCTTAGCTTGGCATTTAAAAACCTGCGCGCTTGCTTGCTTATGAGTTAAGTAAAAGTAACGACACATTTGATTAGCTTAAAGCTTAGTTGACAAATGATTAGTTGAATAAGACTTAAAGACAATCAGCAAAAAGACTTCCTCCTCCTATTGGCTTAATGACTACGTACATACATACATATGTATGTATATATATAACCGTTAATGCAGTTGCGTTTGTGATTATAATTGACCTGTTTTAATTATACGCATACATCAGGGTGCATCACTCTCCAAAAAAAAAAAAAAATAGAAATCCCATATTGTTTTTCTATCGGAATTATAATACGTATAATATTTTAAGACTTCCGCCAAAAATATCTCGGAAAATATTAAGATTTACGTGAGCTAGACCGATTTAAAATGCCTAAAAAATCGCATTATTTTGATGCTGTTGATAAAATGTTCAAACATTTTTATGTAGACCTTTAAACTTAAACTCGTTTATGATCTGATGTCATTTTTGAAAAAATTATTTTTAAAAACTAATTTTATTTATAAAAAACCGCGATTTTTGCAATTATTACGTAAATCTTAATAGTTTTTCGTAATATTTAAAAGACAGCCCTACAAAATAATAAGTTTATAATTGTGGTCGAAAAACCGAAACCTTTTTTTTTGGCGAGGCACCCTACTACACATATGTGTGTATGTATGCTTTTTTCACAAATACAAGAAATATTAATTACAAATTATTTTTATATACAAAAAGTTACACAATAATAAAGTCATAAAAAACTTAATTGGATATTCACAGTTTTGCATGGAGTTCCCTGCTTTTAAAAATACGAAACAAATTTCGCTGTAAACAAACAGCGTCATTTCTTAGACAAGAAAAACCTGGAAAAAAATTCAAATTTCGCAAGCTCAGTGCGCTGACTTTAGACTGACATTCGGCTGACTGGTGTGACTCATCGATGGAACAGCTACAGCTGCAGCTGGTTGCCAGCGAACTGCGCCGTGGCGCACTGGCTGCGCAATTGCGGGAAATATGCAGCGAACGCTGTTGTTGCTGTTGTCGCTGCTGTTGTGTGTGAGGCGCTGCTTGCATGGCACTTTGACATTTCATTACGACAACTAACCGCCAGCTGTCAACTTCCACAACGCTACATTTCTTAGGACTAACAATTTAACTACTTGCACACACAACGCTACATATTCTCACACGTACATACATTAATTCATATAACAACTAATCGCCAAAGTGTGCAGTGCAAACTACTTCACAGCCGCAGCCAAACCATCCAAGTATACTGTCAGGCGATTCCACCCCCCACCGGCCTCTTCATGTTGTGTTAAGCGCAGTGAGGAAATTCTCCACGCGCGCTTCATCCACCGCCGCCGTCGTGCTTTCCTCGTTCAACAGATCACTGATCGAGTACGCGGAGAGTGGGCGTGACAGGCGACGCTGTGATAGTATATCATCGATGGAGGTGACTGGCGACAGTGATTTGCAGCCGGCATAAATGAAATTCTCGCTCTTCTCGGCATTGCGAGCAATCGCTGCGAAAATATCCTCCAAACTGGATTTCATACTCAACTGTGGCCGGAAGAGTACCGGCGAGGCGAGTGGTGATGACGATAGTGGAGCCGGTGATTCGGAGCGTGATGAGGAGGCAGCTGGCGACGCTGTTGATGGCGTAGTGGAAGTGCCAGCGCCGTATGCCAGCGAATTGGGCGCCTCGCGGCGCGCACGTCGTTGTGGCGGTGATTCGTGGCGCGTACTCCACGTGTTGTGATCTTCATCGGCGTTTGATTGTTGCAGCAAACTCAGCGAACTCTCCAGCTGCTCCTGCGAAAGGAGCTGAGAGAGGCGCGAGGCGTTAAGCGTGGACTTTGGCGGTGTAACCGCTGCAGTTGGCGTATCGTCTGCATCCTGACACTGTATGGTCGGTGTGACGCGATTGATTTTCTTGCCCAACAACACTGGCGCTACGGTTACTGTGGGCACGTTCTCGAACAATTTTGCAATTTGATTGACATGTGTGTTGGTTTGTATGGAAGCAGGTTCTACCTGTCGCTTGATATGATTGGCGTGCGTATCCTGTCGTTTGGCGTAGTGCGTTTCTGTGGTGCCCGCTGTGCTGTGCCGCTTCGGGTAGACGCGTGTAACGGCCTTGCGTGGCTTTGGCTTGGGCATGGGCTCGCCCAGTGTGTGACAGCAAATGTCCGGCGCATAGCAGCGATGGTATTTGTGACGATTGGCCTCATAGTCGGCATCGGCGAAGGTCTTAATGCGGCACAGGGATTTGGGTATGAGTGTAAGAAAGACGAATGTGTAGAGGAGGTAGGGGAAGTAAACACAGAAGGTCTCCAGATATGCGAGGTATTCGTGGTAATCGAAATCCATGGCTATTGCTGCAGTTGATTGATATGTATTGTGTTGATGTTTTGTATTTATGCGTAGTCTTTTTCGTTTTACAAATAAGGAAACGTTTCTTAGTTGAAGTATTTTTTATCACAAGCGCTTTTTATGAAATTCGCAAAGTCTTAGTATTCTTTTACCGTTAACTTTTTCAAATGTAATTGCTTTCGCACGTTTTCAGTTCTGTAAATAGAACGACGAGGTGATTTTTTTTGCTTAGTTATGGTGAGAACTGGCGCATTTGTGTTCTTAATTGTAATTGTTCATATTGCTTTATAAGCCACACGTTCCTCGACAAGCTTCTTGTAAATTAGGCGGTGCCACAAGAGAGTCTTTCGGATGAAAATATAACTCGTTTAGAAATATTTTATTAAATTTCTTGATGACCTCTATATGTTTACATACATAGTTTAACGAAATTTAATTTGATTTCAATCTTTACTTTTTCATTTAATGAATTTTTTTATTTTTTATGTGCCTTATGTTTTTATTTTTATTTCTATTTAAAGTTTTGTTTTTTGTTTTATTTTATTTTGCTTTAATTCATTTTATTTTACTTAATTTTATGTTATTATATTAGTATTTTCGGGTTTACTTTTACTTTATTTTGAAATTTATGTCATATCGATTTGGCGTCAATTTAATCTGTCAAAACACTGTTGAAAACTTTTCAATGCAGAACCCATTGTGTCTAGCACTTGACTGGATTTGCTAGATATAAAATACACAAAAAATTTAATAAAAAAGTGAGTATTCACAAAAATAGAAATTTTCCATAAAAATTTCTAATTCTCTTTTTAATTATTTAACCAAGTTTGCAAAAACATAAGCTTTAATAAGCGTTTTGTTGTGGCTGTAGCACCAGCTTTTGAAAAAAGGCGCTCAGCAGGCACTAGGGTTGCCAACACTTTCTACGATATTTATAATACTTTTTCAAAAAAATCTGAAAATTTTTTTTTGTGTAAATAAATATGTACATAGGAAGAGTATCTATGCACGCCGATAACTTTTGACTACGTGAACCAATTTCCCATGATCCTCTTTTTATTCAAAATATCCAGTCTCAAAGTTGGTCTCATATCTTGTACAGTTGTGCCGATTGCATCATTGCCAAAATAACGGCACTCTTTGGTTTTTATTTTGACCACGTACACAAGACCCGAGCATAATTGAAGTCGGTTGCACTTGTTTTTTAATTAATTGTAGAAAAAATGGCCTGAGGGGATTGTTATCAAGCATTCGCTTCATAATGATAAGATAGCAAAATGTTTGTTCATCTTTACAGTGAGAGCGCCAACGCCGATGACCAAGTATTGCCAAAATACAGCACCACGATTCGAGTACTTACATATATACATGTATGTATGTGTGTACATTACAATGTACCACCTTACAGGGAAACAAAAAAAAGTTCGCCGTACACTGAGTCTTAGGTAATTTTGCAAGACAATTTGGAAAAAAATCCCCGAACCTAAGGGTCGCGTTTTTAAATTTTCCGGCAATAAAAAGATTTGTTAAATAGTTTTACTGGAATAATCAAAATACTTTGCGAGCTTTAATTTACTGACATTAGGGTGGTACGTTAGGTTGGTAGGAACTAAGATCTGGTGGGTAAGTACTACAACGAGGCACTTGAGGTCAATGAACTTTGGAACAAAAAAAATTTCCCTCCAGACAAAAATACCGATACATAATACTTTACTTCGTGAAGTATTTACTCGTATCGGAACCACCCTATGAATTACAAACGTTGTTTATTTTTATCCATTTGTGAATGGAGTCTTAAATGAAAATGTGATTAAAAATCAGTAATAACACCCCGATTAAATGAAAAAAAGTGCCCACACCATCACCAACAAATTTTTCTAATCCGACGTCCGGACATAAAACCAGTATTTTGTTTAATTAATAGTAAATTTTTCTGACTTTCGGTCAGTAAGAATCACTAGATTGTCTAGATATGTACTGTGCTAGTAATGATGCCATTAAGCCAGATATTTTTTATTAGTTAAAAATATTTAATATTTACAAATTGCAATGTTAAAACTTTTCATTATCGATGTATATTTTTTTGTTTCTGTTATATTTCGGTCTACTAAAAATGTTAATTGAAAAATTTGATTGAGCTTCAGACCGGCGTTCTTATTATTTAATTTAAGAAAATTTAATTCATTAAATATTTTTTTTTAGATTTGATTCCTTTTTAATTTTATTTTTGTTTTAACTTGGTTGAAAGTTAAGAGCGATTTTCAAGAACTGCAAAGTTTGTGTCATTGTGCTAAAAGTTTCACTTGGTATTTGTTGATAACTAAAGCGTAATTTTAATTGGTTTAAAGATTCAACATTATTTTTATTCAGCACAGTCAAAACGTGGCATGTGCTGAGCGAGTGATTTACAATCATTTTTTCTCGATAAAATTTATTTATTTATTTTTCTCAAAAAACTAAAAAATAAAATAAAAAACCAAAAATTTAGGCAATATTATAAACAAATTTTATATTTTATTAAAAACAATTAATTTGTGCATAAGCCACGCACTTATTGCGCGAAAAATCGCGTGTAGCTACTTTGGCTTGAAATCTACTACTAAACTAAAAATTCAGCGATCATACTTTAATATTTGTACGGCCGCATTCTAATTCTACCGGCAAAATTATGCATATTGCATGATTGAAATGCATTCTAGGTGAATGCGTGTGTATGTACATATATGAATATTTTAAGAAATATTAAAAAAAAAAAAACGAAACCAAATTTTTTTTTTTTAACTATAAATCAAGTCAAAAATGCTTTCAAGCGAATATTAGCCAGCAAACGAGCAGTGGCATCTTCCACGGCGCGCCCACACCATATCCGATTGCAAGCGGCATACTTTTTTTTTTGTGGATTTCCAAATTTGCAATGTCGCATAGAGGCAATTTTTGCGTGTTCACTACATTTTTAATATTTTTTTTTTTTGTTTTGGTTTTAGTTTGTTACACAAAAATAAAAAAATAAAAAATTGCAAATTTGAAGAATTCTTAAAAAATATTAAAAAAGTATACACACACGCATCTGCTTTATTTTGCAATGTTTACGGTTTTAATTTGCTTCAACGCTTTTAAACAATTTCGTATTTCATATTTTATATTTTAATGTATTTTTTTTTGTTTGTTTATCCATAAGTTTACTTCAAATTACTTTTTATAGCATTCTCTTCTACAATTTGAGATCAGTGTCGCCGCGAATTGCAATATTTTCTTAAATATTCTTATAAAATTTTAGTTTTTATAATTTTTATATATTTTTTTCTCGTTCGAAGCGCGTTCAGCCGTCGCGTTCTACGGTCGTTATGTCTCGAAATATCTGCGTTAACTAAATTCTCACTACAGCTGCATAGCTTTAATTTGCCCACTCTTACCGGCTTGTGGAGCGGGTAATAAAACGCTCGCAATGCGGAACCGAAAACTAGTCAAAAGTACAAATACATATGTAACAGCATGTATAACCAGGTATGTACATATGTGCATATGTATGTGCGATTAATTTTAACTACACAAGGCAGCTGCTCCCCACCAAAGCTACTTAGCGGCGTGAGTTACTGGTTATTGCTTGGCGCTCTTGCACCCAACTGTGCTCCAACAGAGCGCTTTCCGTGCATTTGGGCAGTGCGCTACGAGCTGAGAACGCTGGCAAAGCAAGATCCCCCAAAAGTTCTCTGGCTCTCTTCCAACACGCCTACCATTTTCTTGTGAATGTGTGTAGTTTTGTTTATTTATTTTTTTTTATCGCTTTTTTCGCAAATGAATAATTTGTTTTCAAAAATTTGTATTATTTGTTTTCTTGTTGTTGCTAGCATTTCAAATGCCGGAACAGAAGCTGGCAAGTGCACGACGGTGAAGCTACACTTGGCTGCCTAAACACTTAAAAAAAAAATATGAAAAATTCTACAAACGCAAACAGATAGTGGACCGATTCTTTTCGCTTTATAAACATATGTATGCATGTACATTAGGGTGCATCACCCAATAGAATTCGTTTTTGCACCGGAATTAAACATTTTTTCATATTCTATTTAAGACTTTCGCCAAAAAATATTTCAGAAAAATGTTAAGATTTACGTAAGCTGGACCGGTTTGAAAGTACCTAAAATATTACGCTTTTTTTGATATCGTTGACAAATTTTTTTTAAATTTTTATGCAGACCTTTAAAACATAAAGTCTTCTATCTTTATTATATTTTAAGACTTTCGCCAAAAAATATTTCAGAAAAATGTTAAGATTTACGTAAGCTAGACCGTATCTAAAAAAATCATATTACATATTTTGATATCGTTGACAAAATTGTTATGCAGACCTTTAAAGGTTAAAGTCTTTAATCTGACGTGATTTTTTAGAAAAAATGTTTTTAACAACTAATTTATAAAACCCTCGATTTTTGGAGGTAGTTTCAAATAGGTCCGGCTCACGTTAATTTCAATATTTTTCGGAAACATTTTTGCGAAAGTCTTAAAATATTATAGATTTTGTATTTCCAATGAAAAAACTGATACATTTTTTCATAGAGAGTGATGCACCCTAATGTAGTACATATTTATGCACATTAGTTTTGGTGGACATCATCAGCGCTAAAACTATGGTGGCCAATAGCGACGTGGCTGATTTTTTTTTTATTATCAGCCTTTCTGACTGTCTGCCGGTTGACGTATTCTAGTGCGAGCGTTTGCGCTGCTCCACACAGCTGTTTCTAGCTGACAGCGCATCTAATTTCATGCCAGAGATTCATGCGAATTAATTTTAGTTGGTAAGCATTTGTATTATATATTTACTACACCACCCATCAAAACATTTAAGCGTTTATATACACAACTATACGACAGTGACTCAAACCGAAAAAGCAGTCCCCTAAAAAGAATTCTCAAAAATCAACGCCATTTTTTAGATGGTTGTAACTTGCACTTCATTCGAGTAAAATTGTATGGGCCATAAAACTGCAAACCCAAAAATGTTTTAAAGATTCAGATTAAGAAGTTGAAATTTGTATGCAAATTTCTAGAATTTTCCAAAATTTTGTATTAAGTTTTAAACTTTGATTTATGTGGTTTAGGTATTTTTATTGAAAAATAACAAAAAAAATTGGCTTGAATAACATTACGAATATTAAAAAAAATCAACACGTGGTCACTTGTTTGAGTCACTGTATATACAATTTCATGTACTATGTTCATATAGAAGCACTGGACACACTTAGTTGCATATACATATTTCTAGTTCTTTAAAAAAATGTTCATGCCAAGAGGTTTTACTTACACAGGTACATACGGGTGTATTTACATACATACATATGTATCTCTCATGCATATAGACTCCTAAACATACATACATAATATTATGTAAGTACATATTTACTTAAGAGGAGACAATAAATGCCATAAATTCTATTTGGAGGCCACTGATAAAAATATTAAATATTTACAGACCTACTTTTTCTGATGTTTTCGCAAGAGGAGCATTTTAAATAAAAATATAGAGATATCCAGCGGTATGAGGAGGCCTCTGTGGGTTTACACAGCGGCGGTTAGTCCGATACTCCTTAATTGAGTTGGTTGTAGTATAATGGCCTGCCTTGGTTAAGACTTCTGGTCTGCATTAAGGGAGCATCTTCTGCCACCAGATTATGGCATCTTTTGATGCATTTCTTTTGTGGCTCTTATTTTCCCCTCCCCTAAATGTTCTTTTTTGTGTCTTAACGTTTTGTCTCAGCCATATTGACCTAGAGAATCTACAAGCGACTCGTTTGGTCTATGGCTACCTATTATCCCGCCAATCATTTACTTGTTTACCACACTTATGATCTATTTTGGGGAAATATAGCATCATTCATTGTAATTTACCCACTTCGAAAGCGCTTTCTAGCCTTGTGACAAATTCTTGCTAAAAATATCTATGTGAGACGATAACATACAGATATACAAATGTTTATTTGTTTAAAAAAATTTTCATGTCCATACGTATGCAAGTATTATTTAGTATAGGTAGAAAGTTTCTGAAATTTGTATTTTTATTTCTTGCTTTACATTTTGCTATCAGCATGGGGTATTTCCTAAGTAAGCTACGCGCCAGCAATGATCGCTAATTCATTTAAAATTATTGTCATGATTTCGGCATTCACCCGCCCCCTCTGTCACTGCAATAATACGCCTCATTTTGGCACCTCGGTTTACTTGGTAGCATAAATACATACATATGTATGTATGTATAGACGTTTATTTCGAATTTTGTTTTTATTTATTTTTATTATCTGTGTCATTTTGGTTAATTGCTCTAAGTAAAGCAGTAAAACTGTTGATATTTTGCGAGCATGTTCACACATACATATACACAAAGTTTATGTGGTTTGGATTAAGAAATTAAAAGTGGGGCAATATGGACTTGGACCTCATTTTGGTACAGACACCTACAGCCACATAAATATGTACAAATGTATGAAAATAAAACAGCGCTTGCGATCGTAAAAATTTGAACTAATGAACCAAATTTTGATGCAATCATGTCCGTGTGGAAAGCTGTCGCGAAAGCAGAGAAGTGGCGTCTACTGAGGACTACAGCTCAGAAAGTGTTCAGCGGAGCAAAATTCACACGAGATGCAAGGGAATGAGATGTCTATTGTCAAAGTTTAAATATTCGTGTGCGGGAAAGAGATAAGATCGCTAGGAAGTCTTCGTAGTCAAAGTTTTGCCTTGAATTTCGAATTAACTTCTTAAGCCTTGCGATTGGTATATGCTTTTCCACGACTAGACTTTTGGAAAAAGTCAAGACGAGAAGAAAAGAGCTTAATGGATTTTGAGAGAAGATACCTGGGTCTACGACCCAAATTATGTATACAAAAATTATAATAGTCATTCTCACCTTTGGCGTGTTAACCTGCTGAGAGCTGGTTGACACGAGGGCCCATCTGCTGAGCCTGAAAAGTGTAAAACCAGTGTCCGGGTGACGTTAGAGAGACGCCTGGACATTGTACTTAGGGACAAGCGTACATATCTTTGATATGCTCTGTAGTGCTCTAGGACTTCGGGCATCTAAGAAGCTGTGGATAACGCATAAAGACCATGGCTAGGCGGAGACTATTAAAAAAATCGCCTAGATCAAGCATGCCGCAACTTCGATGTTCACTTCCCAGGATCTGATATCGACCTAAACTACGACTAGTGTGGTGGTAGTAGTGGTTCTTAAAAATCCACGAAAATTTCGAACTTAAAAAAATAAGGAGTCCCTGCCAGGGTTTGAAAAAACCGAGTCTTTTTTAAGATGCGGGTTTATAAATTTATATAAATAAGTTTCAGTAATATGACAAATTTATCAGACTTCAAATCAAAATTTTGTCGAATTTTTGCAATTTTTTTTTACTTGTTTTTTTTCAAACACTGGTGGCACCCATTTAAAAAAAAAAAATAAATTTTCGTGGATGTTGAACAATGTTGATATTTTGAAGACCACCCTAATGTGATTTGGCCTTTTTCCTCAGCAACTCTTATTGAGGTCATGGTTTCCTACAATGTCTTAGGCAGTACACCGTCACTATATACTGAAAAATAGGGAGCGGACGGCTGAGTTTAATACGAGAGGCGCACTAATCCAGAGTACTCATAAGAGTTCTAACGAGACGATGGGTTTTTGACTGCATGGCCCCTAGTTTGGAAGCACTTTCTTCGTGCACTCGAAAAAAATGCGCTCCAGATTTTTGGTAAACCATTTATTTGAGAAGCTGGATCTTAGATAGAGGTTAACTGGAATTACTATGCAGATTTGCCAATTGGTCGAGATTTGTTAAAGACATGAAGTGAGGAAATCTTCTACTTGAGAATAGCGGCTTTGAAAACTTTTATGCACCTTCAGGATCGATCAACTCGCGTAAAATACAAAATTATAAAGATTTTTTTCTATGAATTCGATTTAATTTTATTTTAAATGCAGTGAGGAGCAAAAGTGTCCGAGTGGTGATTTTTTTTACAAATATTAACTGCCGGTTTCACCAGCAATTTAAGTGAAAAATTATATTTCAATTCTTTCAGTTTTAATCAAATAAAAAAATAAATTCTAAGTTAAATTTCTTTCGTTTTTGCTCTCATTAAAAACGGCCTCAAGCTCAATAAAAATTGTTGAATTAAATTTCTTTCGTAAAATTTGTTATAAATGTTTTTCATGGTTAATTTTTTTTTTGTTAATTTCTGATAAAAACATTGTCAAGGCTATAGCCAAAACTTTTTAAATCAGTTTTAAATTTTAAATAAAAAAAAATTAATTCTTCAAATTTATTTTAATTTTGTTTGCAAATGGTCTAGCGTATTTTATTTCATAAAATATTTATATTTACACTGAAAAAACCGCAAAAAGACTATCAACAATAGCAAAAAAAAAACATATTAAAATCAACCCGGTTTTTTAAAGTGTTCAAACGTGCACTTACTTTATTGTACCAAAATTTCATGGGTTACAGAACTCATGCTCAGAAATTTATTAAAAATTCATATCAAAAAGTTAGAAATTATTTTTTTTTTAATCTTTGATTAAAGCGGTTTTAGCGACAGCATGGACAATATTTTTATCAAAAATCAACAAAAAAATTTTAATATGAAAAAAATTATTATTAAAAAAACATTTTGATATTTTTGCGCGGCACTGTATGAATATATATTACTCTAATTTATTTTGTTTTATTTTATTTTATTGTTAAAATTATTCATTTATTTTTTTCTTTTAAATTAAATTTTTTTGTGCCAGAAATATTTAGTTATTTGTTTCCCGATTTCACACTAGTAATTGAAGAATGAGTTATTAATCATCCATTTAATGAGCAATCATTTATCACCGACTCGTCAAAGTTCTTTCATAACTTATAAAAACAACAACAACAGCAATAGTAACAACAACATGCCCCTTCGTCATTGTAAAAGTTTTCACAAGTCATATTTTATTTCTTTCTTTGTGCAATTCATTCTCCACTGATTGGATTGCATTTCTTGTTGTTATTATTTTTTTTTTCGAGGGTAGCACTTAGTCACTTGGAATTTTCTTTTTGTCTTAATTGAATTTGCGAACACAATGTCTTGCTCTTATCGCTACAAGCTACTTCACATGCCTGCACGTTGTTCTTGGTGCGATAACAAAATTGCAGCAGCGCGAATGAAGGTGAGCTCAAAACAGGAACGTTAAACACAACAAAACAGCACAAGCTTCAATAAACAAACAAAAAAAATTTCCAAGCGCTTTCCGTGTGCGCTCTGTTACCGGTGTGAGCTGCAAACGCTTTGAGCGATCGTGCTTAACTAAACGCATGAAAAAATCGCAGCCACGACGAATGGGGTGCTGGAGCAAAATTAGCAGCAGGAGAAAAAATTTAAAACAACAATTGTGGAGCATTCAATGCAGTGACAAACATATACAAACGCAAGCGGAGAAAGATGAAAGTTCGTAGGGTACTCTCTCGCAGCATATCGCAAGCAATGGGGCGACCTTCTTAACAAAAAAAAAACAAAAAAAAAATAATGCCAAATACCAGTCTATGCAAGACTGAAGTAACTTTTTATATAAAAATTGTATGCAAGTTTGTACAATTTATGCGGTCGATTAACGCAATGAGTCAGAAGCGCATGCGCAACTTGCTCCATAATCCCCTCCCCAACTAACTGAATTTGTCCCAAAGCTCAGCCAGGCAAGATCTCGAACAGGGCGTGTAATTTGAATGTAGCAATGAACAAAAGAAAGAAAAAAATAAAGGCTTTTGTGTTGCACAGGATTATCTTTCGAATGCCTTTGGCTTGAGTGCAAGTATGTGTAAGTAATGAAGCAATGTTAGGCCTGCGGACTGGTGCAAATGATTATAATTTTATTTCTCTTCTTGGATCTTGGATGCTGTCGCACTAACTATGCGGCATAAATGCGTGCACGGCAAAAAAGGAAATTCACGCAAGTCAAGAACAATGAATCATCTGTTAGTCATATGGAAATTTTATGGATTTTTAGTTGTTTGTCTTGACTTTGCATATGCACTCTGGCCACTGCTCGATGAAGGAAGAAAAATGAGTTAGCTAAGGCACTCATAATCGAACATTTAACCGCCAGGTTTGGAGTCCCACATAACGATTTCTGTAGTTGTTATAGAGATTGCAACCGGCTCCAGAAAAGATCCGTTTAGAAGCGACGAGCCATGGAACAAACCACACTCAGTTATTGTGAGTGAAGATCGCATTCTCTTTTAAACCCTTTAAGGCCCTGGGTCCGGACGGCATAACACCAGCTCAACTGTAGAAGTCTGCGAAGCAATCGCGCCGCTGGTTGATGCCTACCATCGCGAGCTGCCTAGCTAAGGGTAATGTTCCGGAGCCTTGGAGGGTGGCCAGAGTTACTTTTTTTCCTGAGGCGGGTACGGTCTTCCACGTGTGACACAGGAACTGCCGCTCGATCAGTTATTCCTCGTTCCATTTGAAGACTCGGCAGAGTCTGATTGATCTACACTTAAAAAACGGGGTTCTTCGAGAGCGTCTATCCTTAATTCAGCATGCCAGCTGTAAGGGCAGATCTGTTGAAACGGTCCTACACACGGTTGTTGATGGCATTGGGCAGTCCTTTCCGCAGAAGGAATTAGCGGTTGGTGCCCTCCTTGATATCGAGAGAGCTGTTGATAACATTTCGCCTGAGGCTATTGTTAACTCCCTAAATAAACTAGAGGTCGGTGTCGATCCCGTAAAGTTTATTTATCGCATGCTTTGTAACAGAACCGTTGTGGCAGAAAGGGACAGCGCACCAATCCGGAGATGTGTGAGTAGAGGTACCACGCATGGCGAGTTCTTCGCCGTTTCATTGGTTTGTTGTCGTGAATGACCTGGAAAAACTGTTTGAGCTTGGTTTAAAACTGTTATTTTAGCTGCAGGCTTGGTAAGAACTCTAGCAACACGGAGCTTGTTCTTTTCACTGTAGGGTATAAATTGCCATCTTCCCTCAATGGCTGATCTTCCATGAAGGTTCTCTGACCGGGTGCAGTACTTGCGCTTGATCCTTCACAGCAAGTATTCCTGTAAATCCAACGCAGAGGAAAGAGTCAATAAGGCAAGAGTAGCCTTATATTGTCGCTTGCCGAATGTAGGTCATTCGCTTTATGAAACTTGTATAACTCCAACAAACCCCTTCACGCCATATTCCAGATAAAGAGAGGCCTGAGAGGAGTGCAGTATCTGGAATCGGGGTCATGTAAACGTCTTTAAGGACGAATCAAAGCTGAATGGGAGGGTAGGGGAGACGTCTTCTGTGAAGAACTCTCCATAAACTAGAAATTTAGGCTACCGAATCATTGTGGCGTCTTACAAGCAGAGGTAGCCGCAATACAGTTGGCTTCGGATTGGTTTCTTTCCAGTGCGATACCTTTGATGGAGGTGAATATCTATTCCGACAGCCAATCAGTTATCAAGGCTCTTGGCGGCTCCCTGATGGTTCATTCGACAACAGTGAAGGATTGTTTGACCTCCTACGCTATTAAGTTAATTTGGGTTCCGCGTCACAGCGACATCGCCGGAGACTTCTCGGTGATGAGCTGGAAAGGCAGGGAATCCTTGAGAGAAATTCGGGGTGCTCCCCTGACGTCGTGCCATCTACTCCTAAACAAATAGGCGTTTGGCCAGCTCAACATGCGCTTGGCGAAGACCTTGGAATGCTCGGTGGCTAAATCCTTCTGGCCACGTGTAGACCGAAAGCGATCCAGGGAGCTCTTGAGACTAAGAAAGTTACAGCTGTCGCTATGGGTGGGCATGCGGTAAGGCTGAATAATAACGATAACCCTACTACACCAGCTTCAGACCTTTCATTCTTACAACTAAATTAAGTGGAACTTAGAAGCAAAAAAAGTTCAAATGAAATCCATTTCCACTTTTTGTTTAGAGATGAACTATTACGTTTTCCGATGGCGTGGTTTCCTATACTGATTTACCATAATAATGTGCAAAAGGGCCGAGCTTTGACCGCTGCTATAAAAATTCAGCCGTAAACTTTCAAAACGCCGATACACTATACGTATTGTTTTTTGACCCCTCTACCAGAATCCATTGCTGGAACCTTCTTATTGTTTTTTTTGTGTTGTACAGTGTTATTGCACTGCCTATTTGCCCCTAAAATCTTCCTCAATCACATCATTTAGTTGACATTAAAAATGTTGCAAGTTTTTAACATTTTTTTGCTTTTCTCAGCAAATCCCTGTCAGTGGTAGGAACATTCACATTCCTTTTTCTACAAAGTCTTTCATGTTTTATGTCCCATCGGCGAACTAAGTTACCAATCTACGCTTCCTTGTAGGCCTAGCATACTTTGTATGTAATTCTTTCAGATGCCTTGAAATATTCAAGCAATTTTTTAAGAGTCTAAGTATTCTTCTTACAGGCCATCTTCGTTGTAGCGCGACTTGGTAATAAATTTATGTGACAAAAGCTATTTACATTAAGCTACAGTCCAAGCTACGGCCAGGTCGTTCGACGGCAATAAAGTCTGGTTTAAGCAGCACAAGAAAAGGACATACAAAAAAAATTTGCAAGATATTCGCTGATGAAGCGAATTTCCATTATGTTGGCCAAGGAAAGAGGCGAAGGGTGCAATCGAGAGATGTAGTTACTAAAGATAACGATACGTTACCCCTGCGGGACAAATAAAATGAACAAACAAATTTCTTTGTTGTTTGTGTTTCCGATAGGGTACGTATTAGGGTGTTTTAATATTCGTCTTTTTCGAAAACCGGCTTTCGAGTTATTCGAAAAAAATGGCAATTTAAAGAAAACCGGTCCCAAATTTTCAAATTAAGAAAAAAATCACACCTGATTGGTTTCACCTTCCGTTGTTGGCAGAAACTCGAGCATATAGAACCGATACATGGTGTACTCGACCGACTATACAAATATGGTATATTATATACTGGCCATTCATCGAGAATCAATCAACAGATTCATCAACTCTCACCCTTCCTTGAATTCCATCATCGGAGACCAACGCCACCTATCGCAGACGAATAGTTGGAGTTTCTTCGTGAAGCTCGCAAGTCATTGACACAACTCCGTTCTGGATCTTGCAGCAGCTTAAACTGTTCAGTCCAATTTGAATAAGATGCCTCGGTTACATTAACCACCTTTTTATATGTATGTATGCCCACTCACCTCAGCTCATCTAATATCCATCTCCCTACGCCCAAACCACTCGGAACTGGCCGTTTTCTGAGCCTGCCTGATGAGAGTGAAGACAACATGTAGTCGATTCACTGATTTAGACAGAGTTAAATAAGCTGCTACAAAACAAGTAATTTTTAAGCAAAAAACATTTTAGAGTACCGTTAATTTCTTGATGATCCAATGATCGTATCTAAACCAAATTAGTATGGAACCAACTCTGAGGGAGGCATAACCGTTCTTTTAAAAGTTATGCGGTAACATACATAAACAAAAAAATATTCCGACGAATTGATAACCTCCTCCAAATTTTCCAGTATTCAGAAAAAAATTAATAAAAATATTCTATATTCCTGGCCGAGCTTCTCCTCCGAATTGTGGCGTGCGCCTTGATGTTGTCACACAAAGCGGAGGGACCTACAGTTTTACGCCGACTCCGAACGGCGATTGTATTTTAATGAGAAGCTCGGACAAATCAAGGCCGGTTGAAGCGGGTTTAGAAAAACCGAATCAATCAACCTAGTATGCATTTATATGATGTATGTATTGTGGAACGATTTTCCGTCGTCCCTTGTCTGGAACGAAAAATTATACTGAAGACGGCAAAATGCCGAAACCGGTATTTCTCCAAACCAAAATTGACCAGAGATGACGAAAAATCGCTCAACAATACATTGTAAATAAACCCTTGTCATTTCAAATGACTTATGAACTGAAGGAGAAGATTATGAGGTCTCATAGACGCGAAGAGTCTTTTGACAAGTCTGGCAGAGGTATGTAGCTGACGGTGTACGACGTTGGAGCTGCTCAATTTAGGTATTTTAAAGCCCTGATTTTACTCTTTTCTACAAATTGAAACTTCGCCGACTTTTTCGAAATAAATAAATGAACAATGGAAGTTACACAATATGGACAGTTGTGCATCCGCGTGAAAGCCTGGAACTTCTAATCTAACTTAATCATCAATTAGTAAAAAAAAATTCAAAGAGAGCTTTCACTCATAATTAAAATTTCAAAAAAAAATTTCAGTTGTGTGCCCTCCGACTACGCCTTTCTTTGGTCATCAAATAATTCGATTTATTGAAAGTAATTTGCAAGGCGAGCACAGGAAAAAAGGAGTTACTTTAATGTTCACAGGGCTCATAGAAACCGTAGTAATCCACCTAATGACCAAGATATGTTATGTGCTATTAGGCAA